TATACGTGAAAGCCTCCTCGCCACCAAGGCTAATCCCTCTCCTGTTCCTATGCTATGGGACTCCCCTAGTGTTCTGACTATGCCTGTAATACAGCACTATCGCGTTATGGTCCGGAAGGATTGTACTCGGTCTCGTATATTCCCAGTCAGCGTAAGCCTATCAACATGTGGTGCAGTGCCGTACTGCCGTGCCGCACTGCCGAGTCCGATGCTATGTGAATACCATGCAAATGCCGACGCAAAAGTATTGTATTGGGCGGCGTCGCATATTAGCGCATTGGTAGCCATTAATAACGCCACTCGAATCAGGCCTAAGTTAACCAACATGAGCTACAGGGATCAGTCGGCTTACCAGCCGTTACATGAACTCGCCCGAAGAGAGCTTAACTCGCCGGAAAACTCTAGGACGACACATGGTGTGATGACCCTCGCCTCATCAGGACGGAAAGCCCGTGAAGTGACCAGGCAGATGTTGACGGACTGGTGGCACTCGAATCGCCCCAAACACTACGCCGATCTTGAACTCGAGATGCGCCGCAAGAAACCGCCAGAGCTCGCGCTACCTAGAGCGGTCTTCGCACGCTTGATCGCTGCCCGAACCGGACATGGAGACTTTGCGGCATATCATCGCCGCTTCAATCACGATGACGCTACACTTAACTGCGAGTGTGGGAGGGAAAAATCAATTTGTCACCTTGTCCAGTGTCGAAAAGCACTGGCAACATGGCGGCTGAAAAGCGGAAGGCGTAGGGCGCTGGCTCTGGAAACAATGCTTGGATCAAATGGATGGCAGCTTTTCAGGGATTACGTCCAGGGGAGCGGAATATATGCGGAGGCAAGTCGGGGGATGGCAGGGATACCTGTGACTCGGAGGTGATAGATTAAAGGCCTAGGTGACTTGGCATGGACAGAGGGATTGGAATCGAGGCTCAGGCGCGTGGTGGCTGAGGCGGAACAGTGGAAGGGAGATTGTTGAAGTTTTTCTTTTGTAATGCGGGATTTCGCGTGAAAGTTTTTGTTTGTTTTCAATCTGGGCTGCTGAATTCGACAAGGTTCAACACAGCGATGCATTTCGGCATGGTTCCGGTCACATAGGTGGGACGAAGCATTTGTACTGTACGGTAGTTAACCTGATCTGGCCCGACCCCACTAGTGCTCAAGCCCTAGTAGGAGTGCGACGATAGTTACTTCACCTAGCACGTTAATGAACAAATCAAACAAAACAGGTAGTGTGATCTAAAAGTGGGCCTGATCCCAAAAATTTTCTTCGCATGAGAAGATCCCCTCACCAAATGGTTTTTCGGAATTTTCCCTGCAGCTACACACCTGCAAATTGCCATCGTTTTGTTGGCTGGAGCGGGGAGATAATGATGGGATAACGACTCTTGTTAGTGTGTGCTAGAGGGAAGATCTGTGGGGATATTACTGCTGGAAAGAAGTTGTGGAGATATAGATACTTCCGGCCTGAAGGCAGAAAATATCTACGTGCCCTTACATACTGTCGAATGACCTAACGACTTAATGACCTTTCATGTATGATCTTAGAAATGATGACTAATTATGTTGATAAGTAATGAGTTACCTGTTTAGGAATGGCATCAGGAGAGAGAGACAACTGCTGTATATACGTGTTTCCCTTAGTTAGAAGAGAAGAGGAGAAGATATATGTTAACCACCAATTGTTATTACTGCTACAGAAAGCTTGTGATATAAATACCACCCGAGTATTCCGACACATACTCATATAAAAGATAGGACAGAGGAGGGCAAGACTGAACACCTGTACGCGGTGTCCTCTATGAACCTTGGAGTGAAATATTCTCCCAGAGCCAAGTTCAGAAAAATTTGCAATATCAAAGCTGGCCCACGAGGCAATGATTCAAATTACTCCACAACGTCGTTTTTTCGCACCCAACGAGTTTGGCTCCTACCTAAGCCTCATCAAGTCTACAAGTACGACCTAGTAAATCCTAATCTCAATGACCACACTTCACATCGACTATTCTCTGGCTTCAGCTGACCACCTAATACACGACCACGCCGATATTGATACTCGACGGAGGAAGCAAAGCGTGGCGCACAAATCTGGGAGACAGTTCTTTGGGATGGACGTGAGAGGGATCAGGACAAGTTTACAAAATGATGCAAAGAAAGGATATTACCTCGAAGGGCGTGAAATCACGAATTTTGGCAAGAGTTTTACGAATTCAGCTTTGTGCGCGCCAAGACTTCGGTTGCGAGAGTGCAGCTAACACTATAAACACAAGCAAACGATGGGGAGGGCAAGACTGAACACCTGTACGCGGTGTCCTCTACGAACCTGAGAGTGAAATATTCTCCCAGAGCCAAGTTCAGTCAAATTTCGCAATATCAAAGAAGTTGGCCCACGAGGCAAAAATTCGAATTACTCCACCATGTCAATTTTTCACTCCCAAAGAGTCCGATTCTCAACTAAGCTTCATCAAGTCTACAAGTACGACATAGTACATCCTCGTTTCAATGACCACACCTCTCCTCGACTTTCTCTGGCCTCAGCCGGTCACCAAATACACGCCCACGCCGATATTTATACCCGACGGAGGAAGCAAAGCGTGGAGCACAAATCTGAGAGATAGCTCTTTGGGATGGACGTGAGAGGGATTAGGACAAGTTTACAAGATGATGCAGAAGAGGGATACGTTTTCGACGGGCGTGAAATTTCGAATTTTGGCATGGAGTTTTATGGATTGAGCTTTGTGCGCGCCAAGGCTTCGCTTGCGAGAGTGCAGCTCACACTATAAAAACAAGCAGACGATGGAAGGTGTAGTGATCCGCCTCCTGGTGGTGTTCTCTGGTATGGTTTGAGTAGCCTGGGCACCTACTCCACTTTGGAAAGAGACGCCTCGGACCATATTTCGCGCGGAGAAAAGTTGAAAGATGATGGAGGCATGTCTGGATAACTCAGGGTTTTTGAGACGTTCCCCTGAGTGGGTATTCACGGATGAGGGTTGACTTGGGGTGAAGAAAAAGCCGCAATAACTTCGCAGTGGTACTTGCAAATGAAATCTGAGGCATGAGTGCTCTTCCCTTACGTTGAATCATCTATTCTCTACTTTTCTTTGATATTGTGTCAGAGCTAGATAGCTGCATACGCAATTAAAATCTGATGCAAAAAAAAAGATAGGACAGTATATCGTACGAGGTGCTCTAGTGGAACAACCCTATACCGAAGGCCCAGGCTCTCCTAGGGCTATCAATATTGAAGGGTGGTGGTGAATATTGTCTTATACACTTGGTATCTTCAATCGAATGATTGTGACTGCTCAGGTGGCTTAGAATATACTTCGGTGATTATGATAATAATGGGATGGAATGCGAATGGTATCTTATTATGTTTTGTCATTCTATTACATATTAGATTAGATTAGATTTTATTATAGTCCTATCTGATTCTATGACTATAGAGGACTTCTAGTTTCTACATTAAAGAGACTAACAAATTTCGATATATTCAAACATTTTAATTCCCAATATTTCTGTTACATATTATTTACATGATTATTAACCAATCCCACATTTCCAGATAGCGCCGTAGCTAGTCCCTTTTAGGCGTAATCTGCGAGTGAGTGAAGTGATCGGTGGTATATTACTTATTACTGTTCTGTTTCCATTTCTCTGGCTCTGCATGCTACACTGCGTGTATGACAATTTACTACTAATGTGAAAAGCGCATTTAAAACAGTTAGTAGCTTTCTTATGAGTTAATTGATGGGAAGAATGTGTCAGGGCGCAGCGCATATTTTTCTAAACATACTGTAACGTATTCATGATATAAATAAAGTTATAGTTTCTCTGGCAAAGCCACACATGTAGGTATTTGTGAGCCTGTATGGGTCACACGCCCGAATCATACATCTTAGATGTAGGTCGTAAGCCTGATATACCTAGAATTTAAACCAAATCAAATGATTCAAAAGAGACACATGGAGCTGTGCAATTAATTTAAAAAGGCATTTTAACAATTCCTCTTGTCCTCGAGATTAACAGGATTCAATTTGTTAGCCAGATTGATTTTTAAAATATAAATTGGACAAAATCTCGTCACGAACATGAAGTTATCTAATTTGGGTTAGGATATTCCACAGCTATGCCTAATCGCAGACTTTTTGGATATCCTGTAACGATACTCGGGCGGTGAACCCATGAATCAAGTGAGACTGTGAGGCGTTCAAGAAGAAAATCTCCAAAGTGTACGCAGATCTCCTCGACTTGGGAGAAGAAGGGCATGAATAACGTAAACAATTGTGGACTGCAGACGTGAAGCTGTGGAGTTGCAGTGCTATTGGACAGAGATGATTTCTTTCCCTAGATCCTTGGATAGAGATGTTAACGGTTTCAGTAGTACATGGAAGCAAACTCCATCCAATGAAATTCTTCTTTCTACGATCAGAATTTAGACCTGATCTGTTAATTCCCACGGCTCATCGATGATGAACCCAGAGCCCTATACCACAAAGCTATCTGGCCTTTACTAATTGACAGCTACAAAATAGCTCAACACTAAATATTGATATCAAGACCTGGCAACCACGAGATTGCGTCAGTAGTTTCAAGGTAGATACCTTGACTTTGTCGCTACCTCTACACAGCTGTTATCCAAGCTGGGAATAGGTATGCACCCTCTCCATGGAAATATTTGCAGAAGCGCCCGCCTACACACGTCAGAATACTGCAAGTCAATATCAATAGCTGCCAACAGTGATAATTAAATCTATGTTGACAAGGTAAATTGACAGTAAGCGTCTCCTATACAATTGTGAGTCTGAAGTCGATGAAACCCGGTGAACGCGTCATTATTCGGTTACTTACTTAAAAATAGTCGTTACAGTTGGTATTACAGCTAGTTACTGTAAATCCCATCAACTGAGATATCCCCTTCACATCTTACCGTCAAACAGCTCAAGTATACCCCGCACTCTGCCTTCAGCACTCCTGCTTATTTGTGTCAGTCTTTTCCCGTAATGGACGGCCAAAACAATGGTAATCGGTTCTTTCTCAACTTGAATGGCGAGCGGCCGCCTTTCAATGATCGATCTTTTCCCACAACACCATCAACTTTTCCAAATCCTATATTAAACCAAGGGAATCAGCAAGGTCAAATTCAACAGCAGCAACAAACCCAGCAACTACAATATCCAGGGGGGATTTCCTCTGCAGGTTACTTCAACGATTCATACTCGCCCACATATCCTCAACAACACACTCAGTCTAGCCATCAGCAACAGAGATATCCTCAGGGTTACGCTCAAGATGTCACAAATGGTCTTGCAAATCAATTCTCACATCAAAATTTGGGGGGAAGAAATAACATATATGGAAGCTGTCAGCCTTTGCCTTCCCAAAGACCTCGGACTGCTGGAGGATCCGGTCAACCCGTCTTCAATAATTATCTTAACGCACACATGCCATCTGTATCCCAACATCCAAACTGGCCTGAATTCAAGATAGCTCCCGAACGGAATCCCGACAAATTTGGCTCACTCGCTCAAACTAATCAAAAAAAATGCTCCCAACTGGCAGAAGCATTCTTTAGAGATAGCGTAAAAAGAGCTCGTGACAGAAATGTTCGGTTGGTTACCTACTTATGAATGAAACCGACAAAAATACCGCTAACTTTTCTTCTAAAAGACATTGTGAATTAGAACAGCGTCTTTCAGAACCCAGTCTATCGCACATGCGAAAGGAGCAGATCTGGTCAAGTGCCGGAAAACAGGAGGGGAAATACTTACGTTTCCTGCGAACCCGCGACACTCCAGATAATTATACTACGCTCAAAATTATCGGCAAAGGTGCATTCGGCGAGGTAAAGCTTGTGCAAAAGAAATTGGACGGTAAAATATATGCGATGAAGTCTTTGATCAAGAATGAAATGTTTAAAAGAGATCAACTGGCTCATGTTCGTGCAGAACGAGACATTCTTGCGGAGTCTGATAGTCCTTGGGTGGTGAAGCTGTTCACCACATTTCAAGATCAGGATTTCTTGTTTATGTTAATGGAGTTTCTGCCCGGCGGAGATCTTATGACTATGCTCATAAAGTACGAGATATTTTCTGAGGACATTACGCGATTTTATATGGCCGAAATTGTCTTGGCCATCGAGGCCGTTCACAAGTATGGATTCATACATCGGTACGTGCAAAAATAAAAAAAGGTTAAATCACGCTACAGTTATGATTCTAATCTAACAAACAGTGATATCAAACCTGATAATATACTTCTTGATCGAGGAGGTCATGTGAAGTTGACAGACTTTGGTCTATCAACTGGGTTTCACAAGCTTCACGACAACGCATATTACCAAAATCTCTTACAGAAAAAGTCAAGTAGACCCAATAATCGAAACTCAGTCAATCTTGACCAAATAAACTTGACTGTCAGTAACCGCAGTGTTATAAACGATTGGCGTAAATCACGGCGTAATATGGCATATTCCACCGTTGGAACACCAGACTATATTGCACCTGAGATTTTTAGTGGTCAAGGATACGGTCAAGACTGTGACTGGTGGAGTTTAGGCACAATCATGTTTGAATGCCAGATTGGATGGCCACCATTCTGTGCTGAAGACTCACATGACACTTACCGCAAGATTGTAAATTGGAGACAATCTCTTTACTTTCCAGATGATGTACAATTAGGACCTGAGGCAGAGAATCTAATTCGGAGGTATGTTAACATATTACACTGAAATTTACGAATCTAACCTCTACAGTCTGGTCTGTAATTCTGAAAATCGTCTGGGAAGGACCGGTGCAGATGAAATCAAAGGACATAAATTTTTCCGTGGTGTTGATTTTGATAGCTTACGACGAATTCGAGCTCCATTTGAACCAAAGCTTACATCAAATATTGACACAACTTACTTTCCTATCGACGACCTTGACCAAACAGACAATGCTACTCATCTGAGGGCAGCTAATGGAAACCAACCCCGAATAGAAGCACCAGAATTAAGTCTTCCGTTTATCGGTTACACGTTTAAGCGCTTTGATGACTTCAACCGAGGCAAGTACTAATATGATGAAATATTTGGAAAAGGTAAAAACATACAAATTACCGTCACCCCAGCTACCCAAAATATGTGATTAATTTTGGAAGATTTGACATCAAAAGCTGTTTATTAATGCTTGAGAAAGTAGCTTTACAGGCAACAGTTAGGAAAATCAAAGACTGCAAGCTTCCATTCTTATTTAGACTTCCTTATGCCTGTATATAATTCAACAGCTGCTAGATTTTGGATTGCGCTGCGTGGCTCTAAATGCAAGTTAAATGAGAAGTAGAAGTTTTGTTGATAAGATCTTGTACAAATATTACCCAATTTGAGATAAGATCTTTAATCACAGGACAAATATTATATCTGTCTCGATTAGCTCGGAAAAAATCTAATACACTAGCCCTCTATTCATGTCTCTATTTGTTAGACCTGTTGAAAATATAGCCCAGGAACTATGCACTACGGAGCTGTAAAAATTCCGAATAAAAACGTTGAAATTCTACAATGAACATAGAGAGCTGCGTCGATAAAAAGATTTTTGACCGTTGACGAAATGAAAATGAACATTGGAACTTCAGAATTTTTTAAAATTGTAAGACATCGACTCAAACTGTTCTCAAATAAAGGTCTGCAGTCGGATGGTTTATCATCTTACACCTCGATTCAATATATTTGTCAGTTACCACAGACACGTAAATAGATTCATGATAGGCTAAGATTGATGCCCGTAATGTTTGCAAAAGATTTGTCTCACTCATCAGATGGCTACGTTTTTATCTATTGTTAAGCAAAGTTATACTTATATGAATCTCTCTCAGAGTTTATTGAATTGATTGTCTCTCCCATGAGGAATCTATCTAGGTACTATATACATCTTGAGTATCCTACTAATTCCAAATATAGACTGAATATTAGATTGCCAATACGAACTGCTCAAATCTCTGTTCCATACATGGGTCTAAGGTTGGCTGTTACATTATCTTGGGCAATAAAAGGAGTGAAACGACATGGGAGTTGTGCGTATGAAATTGGCCATCTGTCTAGTCGCTAATTGTAACATTTGCATGACTAAGTTATTGCCCTTGATGCATCAGCCCGGTTTACTTGCTTGTAAACTACTCAACTTAAACATCATGAGACAACATTTAAGCTTAGGGTAATCTGTTTGACATCTATCTACAAGTGAATTCCCCATTTTTCATTTACGCTAGTTATATGGGATCTTGCATACAAAACCTGGTTCGAATCATCTCAATTTTTATTCAGACTTTGATTATGTGTGCAGCAATCTATCTACTACACAATATCGGAGAAAAATTACAGAAAAGATGACTCTATATATAAGAAGAGCACTCATGCCTCAGATTTCATTTGCAAGTACCACTGCGAAGTTATTGCGGCTTTTTCTTCACCCCAAGTCAACCCTCATCCGTGAATACCCACTCAGGGGAACGTCTCAAAAACCCTGAGTTATCCAGACATGCCTCCATCATCTTTCAACTTTTCTCCGCGCGAAATATGGTCCGAGGCGTCTCTTTCCAAAGTGGAGTAGGTGCCCAGGCTACTCAAACTATACTAGAGAACACCACTAGGAGGCGAACCACTGCGCTTTCCATTGGCTTGTTTTTATAGTGCCAGCTGCACTCTCGCAAGCGAAGTATCGGCGAGGACAAACTTCAATTAGTAAAACTCTTGCCAAAATTCGTGGTTTCACGCCCTTCGAGGTAATATCCTTTCTTTGTATCATCTTGTAAACTTGTACTGGTCCCTCTCACTTCCATCTCAAACAACTATCTCCTGGATTTGTGCGCCACGCTTTGCTTCCTCCTGCTGGCATAAATATCGGATGGGCGTAGATCTGGTGGCCAGCTGAGGTCAGAGAAAGCCGATGAGAGGTGTGGCCAAGGAAATGAGGATGTACTTGGTCGAGCTAAGAGACCTGATGAGGCTTAGGTAGGAATAAATCTTGCTGGGAGTGAAAGATTGACATGGCTGAACGCCATGAATCAATTGGCTCGCGGGCTAACATATTCAATATTGCAAAATTGGAGTGAGCTTAGCTCTGAGACTTTAGTCCACTTCCAGTTTCGGGCAGGACGCCTCGTACAGGTGTTCCAACTCTACCATTCTGCCTAAGCTCACAAGAGTTAGAAGCGTGACGGGAAAATAGCACGTTCATATACATTTGATTTAAAGTTATCTCTACATTTCTAGAGGTAGAAAATTTTAAATCTTTACTTATCTGAGATCTACTTACGCCTAACATGGTACAATATATATGCTTTGTGTAGACATGAAGTTGTCGAAATTTAGATCTTCATCCTTGTGACGGAAACCGAGTCGGTGATGAATAAATCAATGTAATAAACTGTATGAGAAGAAGATAACTCTAACTACTACTAAAAGGTACTTATAAGATTTGATCCTCTCCGTGAATCTGCAGACTAGTGACTTGTCCTTAGGCGCAATACTTCTTACCCAGCCACGTATTTCCAGGTGTCACTAAGTTGTAATAACGCTTCAGCCGCCACGCAACAGCAGATTCTAAGATCTGGAACGCAGCAAATCTCTCTATGTAGATGAAAAGACGGAACGAACGATAATGACCCCTAGACTAACACCCATCAGTATTTACAAAAACCCTAACAGGGCCCAGAGTCGCATAGCCATGCAGATAAGAAGTGAGCACATTGGGTTCAACTCTTATTTGTACAGAAGACAAGTTCCTGGAGTAGACAGCTTACGATGCCAACGTCGATGTCCGTCCCAGAATTTCAAGCACATGATCATTACCTGCTCCACTTGGGCCAAAGGGGGAGGGGAGACACTGATAAAGGCAGGATCTCGGTCATTCGAAGCGATGCTGAATAGCCCGAAAGATGTGGCAAGACCTACAAAATGGATACAAAAGGAAGAAGATTGGAGCACTTTCGCCTGACGCTTGATGTCAAAGCCACGATTAGGGAGAGAGGGCAGTAGGAGAAAGAAGATCTTCTGCCAGTAGCAAGGAATTGGACGGTATCCGCACAGGATATAACAGTGTTGGTGCACTTCTCAAAGATAACACAACATTAAAGTGTAAACAAATTAAAAGGTTGAGGTATCCTCCAATGTTAATACTTGAGTCCGCACATGTGATAGCATGAGGGTCAGGAAAGACTCTGACTAAAAGGCAAAACAATAATATGATTGTAATCTATGAGGAGAGAAAGACATGGTGGCTAACGCAATACTATATACACATAAAAGTGGTTCCTCACTGGTCCAAGCGTACATTGTAGCACGTGATTAGTGTCCTATGACATTACTTTCCTCCCCCGGTTTCATTTATTTGTTTTTCTTTTTCGCATAGTTCGATTTCTTGATGTTCGACCTGTAAACATCCCTAACTGAAGACCAACTTTGTCGCCATCCCCGTACTGCTTGACAAATTCTTTGTAGGCATCTGTTAACTTAAGATTTTGTCGAGGCTCCCATGTGGGTTCAGCAAACCCTTTCCAGAATACCAGGACTTTGCGACGCCCATTGATTGTTTCAGCGCGAACTATTTTCTCAACAGCATACAACGGATGTTTTCCATCAACTAACGGGGGCGGCTGTGTGTCATCGACTTTTTGTGAAGGCAGTGGATCATTTGGGTCATGCCTTAATAAGTCTACAAAAAATCGATTATGTATGCCTGTTGGTACATCTAGTTGATACACATCAGGTGCAATTTCTTTTTGTATTCTGTATTTTGCTTGAGTCCATGAGAGTTTCTTTTTTTGTTGCGGGGTTTCGACGTTTTTAAGGTTTAGCCAGACGGTATCGCCCGGTTTGAAACGTTCCGCTGGTCTCCTATGATGGTTGGCTGATTCTTCCATTAATTGCTGTGCTGTTGTCATAGCTGCCTGTGCCATGCTTTGACCCTGTATTATTCGGTCTACGAATGCTCGCGCGCGGGCTTGCGGTGATTTTGTTGCTCGTGAATTAGTATGTATTTGTTGTATTGGTTCAGCATCATAGCCGTGAGTAACAAAAAATGGGCTAGTGCCAATAACTGTCGATTTTCTATTATTGAGTGCTAACATGGCAGTTGGGAGTAGTTTAGACCAGTCTATCTGCGAGTAGCTAATAAATGCTCTGAGGTAGTTTAACACTTCTTGGTTCATCCTTTCTGTACTACCATCGGTCTGCGGATGGTAAGCGGTCGACAATCTTTGGTTAATACCTGTCATTTTGCATAAAGAAGTCCAGAAATGACCCACCCAATTTGCCCCTCTGTCTGATGTTATAAATTTAGGAAACCCATGAAAACGATAATGACAAGTTAGGAAGCGTTCTGCGCAAGCTTCAGCTTCCATCGAATTCATTGCTTCTAGGGTGCAGCTCTTGAGTAAACGGTCAGTGATAACCATAAGATATTTGGGGTCGTCTTCTTTTTGCGCAGGCAAGTCTGTCATGAAATCTACCGACAACTCACTATGAAAGCGTTCAGGTACAGGGAGTGGTCTGAGTAATCCTTGCGGGCATTGACGCCACGCTTTAGATCGACTACAGATCGAGCAGTTTCGCGTGAATCTGCGAATGTCTAAATATTGTTGAGGCCAAAAAAATGCTCGAGACACTATGTGAAGGGTACCGTCTCTTCCGGGGTGTCCAGTAATACTTGAGTCATGAGAACGTTGTATGATCGTTGTTCTCAGTGGCTCCCAATTTGGAACCCATAGCGCACCTCGTCGTGTTAACGCGCCTCTGTCATCTAGGCTACAATCTGTCATTTGAACCCCTAATTTAAGGTCTATAGGTAAAGTAGACTGGCCTGCAGCGACTGATGCATGAATACTGTGAAAAGCTTGGTCTTTTTCTAGAGCTTCGTCCCACAAAGAAGCAATTTCCTTATCTTCAAATAATTTTTTGCCGCTGGGCATGATATTCTGGTCAGTTTCAATATGTTTCAAGGTCATATCCGGAAAGTCTACAATGTTTATTGTATTTAAGATGAATTCTTCTGGTGAAGACGTGCTTAAATTATTTTTGAAC